GGGGGGGGGGATTGGCAGCCGTGTCGTAAAACGACAGAGATTATAGATAAGGGCCGTTTTTTGAAAACGATTAATTTAACGTGACGTATCGTCGAGAGAAGGAGTGCGACGGTATCGATGCCCAAGGCGGCCCACCGAGTCAACGTGGCGAGCAGCAGCGTAGCGAGGATAATCGATGGGCGGTTGAGGGCCGCTCCCTTCCTTACCTGCGATTTTCTTGACAATGGCGGGCTCCGCCCTGAGGCTCTCGACCGACGGTAAGTCCAGTTTCGTCCTTTCCACGGATTTGCCGTCGCCTGTGTTGCCAAGCGAGAGGACGACGCCGTCCTTGCCAGGCGTCATCGTCGGCTCGGCGCTGCTTCTGTTGCTGTTGCTGTTGTTGTTGTCGCCGATGACGTTGCTGTTGTTGTTGCCGTCGTTGCTGCAGCTCACGCGAGACTTGCCGTCGTGCCTCAGGTCCGTGACGTTGAGTGGCGTGGGTTCGTTCGCCAAGGCTGGAAACACGATCATGTCTGCGGAAAGTTGGAGCTAATGAGCGCCGCTCGCTATCAACGACGATTGAACTCTCCATTGTTAAGCGAATGCTCGGTTGCATAATGGGATAACCTTGGGATAACCATGGGATCACCTCCCCCTCCCCCATTATTTACCCTTCACCCCCCTCCCGCACCCTCCCGCCCTCATTAACACTTTGCGATACTTTATGTTTATTTTAAAGCGTCACGGTTGACACTCGCTTTCCGGAAGCGTAATTTCCGAGGCGATGCGCGCGAATTTTCGCTCGAGAGGTGTGAATTTAAGTCTGGTACGTATTTCTGTATCGAATCCGAAAAATAAACTATGTCCAATCGACGACGAAATCAAAGACGAAATAAGATGAAGAAAGAGATGACGAAAATGACGACGACGACAACGCGTGATTCATATTGCAATTTTTTTGCGAATAGTAATTCGTAAGAAGTTGGAATTTCTTTGTTTTCACGCAACTCTTACGCAGAGAAGCGATTCCCGAATTTCCAAACTTTCTTGAGCGATTTTATTCTAGTTGAAGCTGAAAAGGCCGAATAACGACTTACCGCGTTCGCTGCTTTTGGTCTCCTTGAACTCGCAGCAAGTCGAGTGCAGGATCGACCTGCGGCAGCTTTTGTTCCGATGGTCCGATTTCCGTCAGCTTTAGTCTACAAGAACTGTAAAATAATTGAAATTAATCATTCGCTTATACCTAATAGTTTTTCTTCCTGATAATATGTTAATAACCTACTAACGAGGAGATGATGACTTTGCTGTGATCTGTGTGTTCTAAGCAATGGGTTTGAGTATGCAAAGAAAAAGCATAACTCAACGATCGAGGATGATTAATACGTTTTATAAAATATCTTTTAAAAATCGATAAAGTTTATTAGGTTTATATATTGATCCCACGTAATATTGATATTTTAAAAGATATCATATATTATAATATATGTATAAAACATATTCTATATAAGGCAATTATAAACATTGCAATCTATGATTGAAAGAACAATGTCTTGAATTATGAAAATCTACTTTTTATAAATCGTAATGCAATTTAAGTACGTGATTAGGAAACGGTTTTCTCCGTCTCTGATCTACGAAACTCGTACGGGATTTTTCAGTACCATTGGATAACCAACGGGTACTTTTTACATTTTAATTTAGTTTCTGGTATCGTAATATTTTCGTTTCACTAAAAACAATAAAGTAAATATGAAACAGAAATGCGTTATAATTTTATCACTAAATAATAATTTTAATTTTATCACATTCTTGTTTCTAATAACTCAATTTAAAAAAGTAATTATTTATTTTCTCTCTAAATACGCAGTCTACATTACGCGTGACAAGGCTAAACACTTCATTTTAAGTGTTTTTAAGTACACGAGACAAAAGCATTTTATATTATGTATTTTACTATTTTTATCTGTATCAATATAAATTGAGAGTCAAAGTATTAAAGTAGAACAAATTATTATTTTTTTTAACTTAATTAAAGATATAATCGGTTTTGTAATAAGGACCTCTGTGTAGATCAATAAATTTTCTAATTAAAGTGAATAATAATAGTAGCCGGGCAACAAATTTCACTATTAAAAAATGCAGAAGATGTAATTATAAAGAAAAAAATTAACCAAAAATGATCCACCATTTAATTCTACAATATTGATTTTTTATATAATACAAAACTGTAAATTAAGTATGTGCCCCCCCCTCTCTCTCTCTCTCTCTCTCTCTCTCTCTCTCTCTCTCTCTCTCTCTGTGTATATTGGGTGCGGGTGCGGTGGGTGCGTTTGGATGCATCTTCCTGCCTGTGTGTGTCTGTCTCTGTGTGCGCGTGCGTGTGAGTGCGCGCGCGCGTGTTGTACATCTGTACATAAAAATGATTTTGCGTTAAATGAAATATTCATTGATTGTTAAAACAATGAAATAATTTAAACGATACTTTTAATTATTTTTAATAAAAATATATTCAAAGTTCAGAATAAAATATTGCCGTAATGTATAGAATATGATCAGCCGAGCTCATTCCTTAAATTATTAGAGATAATTTTCGATAACTTCAACAATTCTATGTCTATTTCGAAGTTGCTGAATCACTATAACATTTGTTAATTTTTTTAACATTCATCATATATAACAGCATTGGCGCTGCTAACGAATAATTTTCATATTATGATTATCGACTCAGTTAGCGATAAAATTTAAATAGCATACACACACACGCACACGCACACGCACACGCACGCACACGCACGCGCACGCACACACGCACATTATTAAATTACATATTTTTAATATACAATCAATTTCTTTAAAAATATGAATAAAGCGAGGGTTTAATTTTATGGAAGCAGTTGCGAGCAAATGCCATTGCATAAAAATTTCTACGTTCATATTGATTATATGTAAATAATTCAAATTGCATACAACGGTATGATTAATTAAACAATTTTGAATCATTTGATAAGAATTAATTTAAATTATATAGTTTTATAGGCTATAATAGCATATATTTTCTAAATACATTTTCGTCGTATGTAGACAAAAAGCGAATTCATTTACGAATATCATCCAACATTTACATTATATTATAACTGTAATAAATAATTAAAGTAGTAAAATGTTATTTCACTCATTTATTTATTATATAAAGTCAGATTATGTGGATATTGTGTAAGAAAATTGTAAAAAAAAAAAAAAAATAATAATAAAAATAAAAAAAAAAATAAAAAATAAAGAAGAAAAGTTTTTAAAAAACGATATCGCATTTACGTCGTAGACACGAAACGAAGTCGGTCGGAGATTTTACGTATATTCAATTACTTTAAAAGGCTTTGTTATGGATTATTAAAGTTTAACACATATAGATTAACCATCGACTTATAATTAAATATTACATATTACACTGCCGTATACTAAGTATACTACATAATATATTTATTAAATATTTTGACGTGCTCAAAATAATAATTATACAAACAAATGAAATAAAAAAAAGAAAAAAAAAGAAAAAAAAATAGATGAAACAAAACCAAATTTTCTTTAAGATAATTGGAATACAACTGTTTTATATGAATTATTACGATCACGTAATTATTAAATTATGTATTAATTGATATTTAAAAAGTCAAATGTACAAATTACCGTCAACTGTAAGTCGTATATCAATTACTGCTTATTTATTACTGTCGATTGGAATGTATTGCAATAAGTAAGTACCTATCAAAAACTTTTTATATAAACTTTCGTAGGTACTTATCAGTATTGTCTTGATATTACGAGCAATAAATCTTCATATTTACAATCATGAATTTAATCATTATACCTTTAAGATATCGTTTTCGACTTATTGTATGAGATTACTTTTTGAGGCTACATATAAACAATAATTACAGCACAAGTAAAGCATTAAAACTCATAGATATTGTTTATTATTTAACTCTAATTATACATTATAAATTATATATTTATAATTTTTTTTCTTTTTCTTCATCTTATTATTATTGTTATGATTCCTATTATTATTATTGTTATGATTATGATTCTTATTATTATTGTTACAGTGATTATTGTCGTTGTCGTTGTTGTTGTTGCTGCTGTTGTTGTTGTTGTTCTTATATTATTATTATTATTATTATTATTATTATTATTATTATATTTCTTGTATTAAGTAATAAATAATCTTTAAGGTTATTGAGTTAAAAGATTAATGAACAAACCAGCGTACATTTTCTGTGATATATATATTCGAAGCCAATTTATTTACAAAATTATTGTTAAAAATGCAGTTTTCGCATTTTACCGTTAATAATAAAAGTTTGTAAAAATCGTAAAATTTGTCTTACAAAGGAGCAAGTACTGCATGCATAATGATAAAAATAATTAATATTATGTTCTTCGTAAATTTTAATAGATGCAATTACTGTTGTTCAACAATTTATTTTTTACACGTGAAATCAATTATTTTACTCCGTTGACGAATAAGAAGGTATCGCGCACACTATATTATGAAATATTCGAATGAAAATGATTATTTCTTTTTATAGCGAATTTTTAATTGTGCAATGTATATAAAGTGAAAATCGTGGTAAGATAAAACGAGTAATGTAAGATTAGAAGGGCGAATAAACTTCCGATGATTAAAAATTAATAAATATATTTAAAAAATTGAAATTTCGAATATTCATCGATATTTCATTATATTTCTAGCGATGTTACCATGTAATTTCAAAGAGTCAACACTGTCTTCAATTAATTAGATGATATCGATAATGTTTATATTCATTAACTAGCGCTCACATTTACTAATTAGATATTATATATCGTTTAAAGCATAAGTGCAAGTATTTTTATGATACATCAAATTATATCGTCTTTTACGAGTCTTGATAGATCTAAATCTGATATCTAGCGTGTTTAGAAGTATGCGATAAATAAAATATGTCAGCGATGGAAATTGACTATAGCTGGAATTACAAAATTCCGTTATATGTACTTGGCTCGTTACATTAATTAGTCGGCCCATAAGACAGATGGAATTGGCCTTTCGAAATTAAAACAAAAAACAAAAACAAAAAACAAAAAACAAAAAACAAAAACTAACACAAAAAAAAAACCAAAAAAAAAAAACAAAAAAAAAAACAAAAAAAAACAACAAACAAAAAAACCAGAAAAAAAAGAAAAAATAAGGTCACCACTACAAATACGAATTAAAAACCTTAATCTAAAGGCCTTAAAGACGCATAGTGCCCAACGCTTTATCATAGACAGTGAATGTGTTGAGTGAGTGACGCAGTATACGCTACAATGGTCAAAGCGTAGTGGTGAGAGAAAAAAATTCCTGCAGCAAGTTCGATAAAATTTTAGCCACACTGGCAAGCATCGGACAACGTATATATCGTGCACTTTTGTTCTAGCGTGCTATTTGGTCTGATCGCGAGTGTGAAAGTTCGCGCGACCGAATTGTCATCTACGGCAATGATTATCTTATCGGTCGCCGATCGTCCCTGGAACATCGACTACATCGACTGGGATAAGCCAAGGATGCAGCGGGTCTCCGCGTCTTCGCGGCTCACGCTACCTTTCGCGCATTCGAGTAAAATTTCGTGCGAATAACGTGGCGCGCTGGCCTTGATCCCCCGAAACTTTTGCCGTGGAAATTAATTGCAACACTGAGGCAGCACGCGCCGCAACAAGTAGCTTGATCGCGTCACTCGCGTTCGCGCACGACGATCGGCCGATCGGCTGAACAAAAATGGCGTGGGTGCGCGGCCAGCCGAGGCGCGTCATCGGTCAGTGGGTGCCGATAGCGATCGGTGCCTCGTTACCTGGAGCGCGAGCACCTCGACGCGGGCTTCCGTACAGACGAGGAACGGCCAACTGCTGCCCGCGTTTATCGGCTCGCGGCCAAAACTCTTGGAGCTCGCGGCTCGCGACTCGCGACAATGGACGAGCCGTTGTGTAAGCCCAGGTGCACGATGATCTTGCCACTCAGCATCCTCGTCCCTTTCGCTGGACGCTTGGCTTTCCCATTCAGAGCGGAGGTCCGGCCGCCTCGGCTCTTATCGTAATATAGCGAAGGCGACGCACGATGAAAGCGACGGAAAGTGCCTTTCGATACTATTTTCTTTGCTGAATGCTCGCTTGCTTGATTCTTGGATAATTCGGG